CAAACGTCGCTGCGAGGTTCACTTTGGGCGTGGCACGCGGGGAACAAAGCGAGGGGCGCGTGGCGCCACCTCGCGGCTTCCAAGAATAACGAGGGCGGAGGGTGGGGGAGGAGGGAGGGGGAGGGTGGGGGAGGAGGGAGGGGGAGGGTGGGGGAGGAGGGGAGGGCGGAGGGTGGGGGAGGAGGGAGGGGGAGGGTGGGGGAGGAGGAGAGGGGGAGGGTGGGGGAGGAGGGAGGGGGAGGGTGGGGGAGGAGGGAGGGCGAAGGGTGGGGGAGGAGGGGAGGGCGGAGGGTGGGGGAGGAGGGGAGGGCGGAGGGTGGGGGAGGAGGAGGGGGAGGGTGGGGGAGGAGGGAGGGGGAGGGTGGGGAGGAGGGAGGGGGAGGGTGGGGGAGGAGGGGAGGGCGGAGGGTGGGGGAGGAGGGGAGGGCGGAGGGTGGGGGAGGAGGGGAGGGCGGAGGGTGGGGGAGGAGGGGAGGGCGGAGGGTGGAGGAGGAGGGGAGGGCGGAGGGTGGGGGAGGGAGGGGTAGGCGGAGGGTGGGGGAGGAGGGGAGGGCGGAGGGTGGGGGAGAAGGGAGGGGGAGGGTGGGGACGGAGGGGGGGCGGAGGGTGGGGACGGAGGGGGGGGTCGTAGTGGGAGACGGAGGCGGGGGATACAGGGTGGGGGCGGAGGTGGGAGAGGCCGAGGGTGGCGGGGCTGAGGGTGGGAGGGCGGTGAGCAGAGTGTGGGGGGGGGGGGCAATGGGGAGGGGGTGAAGTCGTCGTTCCGTCGCCTGATTGTGACGATGACGAGGGATGCCACATTGTCTCCGGATGATGATGACACATCTAAATAAATCTGCGTCTCAAGACGCGATTCAAATGCGGAATCGCGTACATGTCGACGCGTGTAACAAAACAAAAAACAACAGCCATGGAGGACCTCCCCGTTTAAACGCGTGGCGTTCACGCGACGCGTCTTGTTTTAAAATGGAACATGTTTCGCTATAACGCGCACCCCGCCCGCTACAACGCGAGTCTAGCTCGGGACGTGTTCCTCTTCTGAGGATGTGGGGGGGGGTGTCCGGTTTTTCCCCTCCACATTTAGAGACGCGCGTTTAGAGTAGTGGTTCTTCTTAGCCTGGGGTACACCACCCCCTGGGGGTGCGAGACATGGCCAGATTTTATTTAGAAGGTAAATCATCGAAAACACAAATTAGGCACGGGCACGTGGGTTACAACTTACTATGTTTCATCAAACCCCATGTATTTATTAGCATTAGATATTTTTTTTTACGATTGAGAACTCGAAAGGGGTGCGAGGCTGCAGTCGAGGTGAAGAACCACTGGTTTAGAGTATTTGGCTTCTATAAATGTCCACGTGATAAGCCACTTCGTTGAGCTATCAAATGTGGCTTCTCAAAAAAGGGCTACAGAGCTCAGTGAGCCTTACCTGCTGAAATAAAATATATGCATCTAATGCATATATAAACATTCACCCCCTGAACGGGAGATAGAGGAAGGGTCTCAGCTGTGAGACACAGAAGACAAAGATCCCAGGAGGCACGCGAGAAAATTCACGACCCCACCAAACGTATCCCCAGGCTCCTTCCGGCCTCTTTGAAAGGTCGCGGGGGGGGGGGGGGGTCAGGAATGGAGCTATTTGGGGGAAGCGTTGTCAGTCACCGTGGGTGCACGAGCGCCAATTAAATACAAAACGTCAGAACCGCCCTGCGACAGAACAGACAGAGGAGAGTGACACTGACGTTTCGGGTAGCGACCCTCGCCTCCTGAGCAGTGCAAACAAACAAGACGAACACAAGCCGGAGAGAACACATGCGAAATAAGATGCAACATTGAGAAAGAACAATTCTTACGAGACGGACAATACGATTTGTTGGAACAATGCAAATTAGACGGAACAATGCAAATTAGACGGAACATTTCAAATGATGGAACAATACAAATGACGGAAAAAATTCAAATGATGGAACAATTCAAATGACGGAACAATACAAATGACGGAACAATTCAAATGACGGAACAATTCAAATGACGGAACAATTCAAATGACGGAACAATAGAAATGACGGAACAATTCAAATGAAGGAACAATGATGAAAGCGAGACGGACGACACCCGTCGAGACGGAACAATGTCGGACCGATCATTCAAAAGAGGCAGAGGAAGCGCACACGAGGGGGGGTGTTGACTGCACAAACGGGGAGAAAAACAACCCCGGAATCTTTACGCCACACAGATGGATTCAAGAATCCATTTGCTTGTCCTGCCATCTCCTGGCCGAGCCGAACGAACCTGTGCCCCCCCCACCTCCACCCCCTGCCCTACCACGTCGGATTAGCACGGTTGGCTATGTACGGTGTGATTGTGATCTAACATCAAACTGGGATTTTTGCACATTTTTTTTGTACGCAGCATAAACATACGGTGCTTTTTCTGGAAGATTGAATTGTTTTTGTAGGGGACGTTTCAATTTGCGTGCAGGAAATTTTCAATGTATCTTATAATTTGATTGTTTGTTGCGGTTGCACCCGGAACAAGAGCCGAATGGCTCACAGGGTAAAACCAAATAAATGAAACTGAAAACTGAAACTTATCACGCGGAAATGTATAGCAGCTAAATACTCTGATCCGCTGCTGGTTGGAGGCCTTGCCACGCTTTGCCGGCCATGAGAGCTAATTGACCAATACTTCACCACGCTGGTCAGCCCGAGTCTAAATGAAACTAGTAACTAAACTATTTTTTATTTTAGCAGGTGAGGCCCCCGCCCCCCCCCCCCCCATGAGCTATAAAACTCGAAGCAACCTAGCCACAAATGATAGCTCAACGAAGTGGCTTATTATCACGTGGACATCTGGAGCAGCCAAATGCTCTAAACGCGTGATTATGATTCTAAATGTGGAGGGGAAAAACCGGAGGACCCGGAGAAAAATCCATGCGACCACGGGAAGAGAAAGACACACAGACTCCAAATACACCGCAGGCGTCAGGGTCGGGATAGAACCCACGACCTCCTGTATACCAGGCGAGGTAGTTAACATCTCGCTACCGTGGCACCCCCCATACATAACATGCACAGTGGCACCCCATACACATGTACACAGTGCCCCCCACCAACCCCATTGTGGGGTGGCTGGGGTAGCACTCAAGTTCAAGTGGAAGAGTTCATCGACACCCATACAGGGATCCCCTCTTCCACCCCGCTCCCCCACATTGGTACCGCCCTGGTACAAGGGCACACGTGAGACGCCCTTCCCCTTCCCGCGAGCTGCTCCTCTTCCCCGTTTCCCCGTAGCCGTAATCAATACCCATTAGCAGCCGTGCGCCGGGCGGGGTAACGGTGGACGGGAGCAAGGGCCGCCCGAGTGCCCGGCGGACGAATCGCTGCGGAGTCACGGCGCTCCCAGCCCCCTGCCGCCCTGGAGACGCCACCGCAAATCCGCGATCACAAGGGCACCGTGGCGGTGGTGGCGGTGGTGAAGACGACGGTCTTGGTAATAATGGTGCTGGTGGCGATTTTACTGATGGGTGGTTGTGGGAGCGGTGATGGATACAGTGGTGACGGTGTTGGTGATCGTGGTGGTGATGGTGGTGATCTTGGCAGTGGTGGTGGTGGTGTTGATGATCGTGGTGGTGGTGTTGATGATCGTGGTGGTGGCGGTGTTGATGATCGTGGTGGTGGCGTTGTTGATGGTGGTGGTGATCTTGGCAGTGGTGGTGATCTTGGCAGTGGTGGTGATGCTGCCGGTGGTAATAACACCATGGAAGGAACGCCCTTGCAAACGAAACGAGATGTTAACGCTCTAGGGATTTTTCCACACGATAATATTTGATTGAATTGTGACGATGGCGGTGATGGAAATTGTCGCATTGTAGTTGCAATAGCCATGAGGACGATGATGATGACGATGGGGTTGCTCACGATGATGGGGTTGGTGGTAGGAATGATGATTGCGGTGAAGAGGAAGCTGTTGCCGTCGATAATAACAAAGACGATGGCGACGGTGGTGACGATGGTGATGATAATTGACAATGATGGGTTGGTTACAGGATAAAATTGACTATGATGATATTGGCATTGACTATGCGGCGCCGTTAACACCGTCAATGTCACCGATATTGATATTGTACAACCATTATCACCCGCCTCTCCTTACCGGTCGCCGGTTTCAATTCCGCATGGAATTCAGGGTCCTCATCCTCCTCGCATTCATGGCCCTGAATGACCTCGTGCTCCACCACCACCCCCCCCCCCCCCAGTATATTCTGGAGCTGCTGCTGCACCCCTCCGATCTAACAAGATCGCCGACGTCGTGGACTTGAATCTCTCTCGCCTCCCCCGCGTCCCCAGAACTAAACTCAAGTCCCAGCGGCGGCGGCGATCTCTGGGCCTTCGTTCCCGTGGTACCCGTACTGCGAGGCTCCCCGGTACAATAAGTGTGTGGGCGAACATCGGCGCCACATTTTGCGGTGACCAGACGCACGAATACACAACGTGGAACGTGCCTCCCGAGCACTGCGTCAACAGGAGGCATCGTGACCTCTCACTCCTTGCATTGTGGCCTTAGTAACCTGGAGGGGGTGGGGGGGGCGGGTGGAGGGAGGGGGCACGAGCGCTGGGGAAGGGGTCGAGGGCACCGGGGGTCAAAGGGCTAGATTGGAGGTGGGGGAGGGGGCATTGCTGTGGACTAATACATCAGGGATGTGACAACTCAATCAGATGCTCAAGGGTGGACAGTCACGTGGGACCACAGCACAACAACAACCGCCATTCGCCACCAAGTGGCGGTGACGTCAGCACGGCGCTTGTGCCAGCCTATGTGCCCTTTAAGGCCGCGTGAAGTGTCGAAAGCTCGCCGGCACGAGGTCATGGCGGGACAGACCCAGGTGCCCGTGGCTTGAGCGACCGAGAAGACTGGCACAACCAACACCGCCACCGCCACTCGGCAATCTCACCCCCCACCTCCCCCCTCCCCCGCAGCATCCCGTGGAGTGCGCTCACCGGCGATGCGAAGGACGGCCCTCTCCGCCGGGTCGAGCACCGACTCGTGAGGTCGCCGCATCTTGGCTCGCTGGTGCCGCGGCAGGTTCCACGGCAGGGTGTCGCCCGCCTGCAGCCACTGCAGGGAGTCGGACTTCACGCTCAGCCGGTCGTCGTCGTCGTCCTCCTCCTCGTCGTCGTCGTCGTCGTCGCCGCCGTCGCCGCCGTCGTCGTCCCGGTGGGAGCGCCGCGACCTCAGCCCCGCGTTGTCGTCGTCAGAGAAGAGGCCCAGGTCGGAGGAAGACATGGATCGCTGGAAGATGCGGCCGCTGACCTGCTCGCCCGCGTGCACGACAAATGACAAAGATTAAACGAAGCCATTTAATGTTGTTTGGGTCTTTCGGCAAAGTCACGTAGACAGGTTAAATATGAACGAAAAACGACGACGTTTCGATCGCAACACAAGCGACCGTCAACAGGCTTTCTTTTCCCACCCGATGACGGTCGCTTGTGTTGCGAACAAAACGTCGTAGTTTTTAGTTTGAGATATATTTTTTTTACCTATCTACGTGACTTTACCGAAAGACCCAAAGAATGTGAATTCCTGCAGTCACGAAAGCTTTAAGTGAAGCCGTTCAAACCATTTGTTTAATTTAACGACGTGAGGCCCACCGAGCGACCTGGCAACAAGTGATAGCCCAACGACGTGGGGTATCATCATCAGCATCGTAGTCGTCACGTGGAAATCATGGACAGCAGCCAAATACTTTAAACGCGTGTTGTTGTTGATTCTAAATGCGCAGGGGAAAACCGGAGGACCCGGAGAAAAATCCGCACGACCACGCGGAGAGAGACAGGCAAACTCTAAATATACAGCAGGCGTCAGGGTCGGGATCGATCACAACCTCCTGTATATCAGGCGAGGTAGTTAACATCTCGCTGGCACACCACAGATTACCCATGTAGAACCTTCAACAGAGTGTTGGGGCAAGCGCTGTTAGCGAGCAACACCTGTGAAGGCCGGCACGGGGTCGCACGTGAGAGTGGTGCGAGGGTGACCAACACGACGCCCACGGCCGCCTTTGTCTCCCCGGCGTGGCGATGTTCACACGCCGGTGCCAGGTGCTCATTCCAGGCGGAGTTGACTTAGGGGAGGCCCAGGACCGGTTCAGATAATTGTCACTGGGCTTGGCCCTGAGCAGGAATTGAATAGGCGCCACTGTGGTGAGATGTTAACTACCTCGCCTGGTATACAGGAGGTAGTGAGTTCTATCCCGACCCACCCATCGGGCAGGTTACGTGGGATGGGGGTAAAGTGTGGGTTGCTCGCCATCCTCTTCCAAGACGTGGGAGCCAGCGTGAACGAGCAGAGGCCAACATCTAAATGCCCCTCTGGGAGGGGCTCTCGAGAAAGCTCCCTCTTGGGGGAGGCCCTTCCGCCAGCAGTGAAACGAGTGAGCGAGGCACTTGCATGTGCTGCGCCTTCACTTTTCAGCGCTCTTCACGGGCGACTCATTGGCGCGCCACCTCGTGGTGAAAGTGCGAGTTGTTTTGGTATTCGGCCAAAAATGTCAAGGCTGACAAAACCACGCACGCACACACACGTGGGAATACTGCATACATACAAATACACAGAGACAAAGACCCGCCTTAGAGCCTTGTCAGACTGTTGGGCCAAGTGCTGTTCGCGAGCACCTATGAAGGCCGGCACGGCACACAAAGGGGGTTGTGGATGGCCAACACCACGCCCGGCCGCCTTTGTCTGCCGTGTGGCGATGTTTGCACACCGCACCAGGTACACATTTGAGGCCGAGTCGACCTAGGGGGAGGCCCAGGACCGGTTCAGATAATCGTCACTGGTGTTGGCCGTGAACGGGAATCGATCTCGGGTCGCCAGGTTCCTAGCGCAAACGCGCTATCCGTTAACGTTAGCGCTCCATACGTACGTACACATACGTACACAGACAAAGACCCGCCTTGTCAGATTGCTGGGCCAAGTGCTGTTAGCGAGCACCTATTAAGGCCGGAACGGCACACGAAGGGGGTGGGGGTGGCCAGAACTACGCCCGGCCGCCTTTGTCTTCTCCCCTTGTATTTTTAAATGATAAGTTGGGGGTGCGTCTTATAATCACGTAGGTGTGTGTGTGTTTGTGTGCGTTTGTGTGCGTGTGGGGAGTGGTAGTGTAGCGGTTAGCGCGTTGCGCTATGAACCCGGCGATCCGGGTTCAATTTCCGCTCACGGCCAACACCAGTGACGATTATCTGAACCGGTCCTGGGCTTCCCCGAGGTCGACTCAGCCTCAAATGAGTACCTGGTGCGGTGTGTAAACATCGCCACTGGGGAGACAAAGGCAGTCGGGCGTGGTTGCTGGCCACCCACCCCCTCTTATACCGTCCCAGCCTTCATAGGTGCTCGCTAGCAACACTTGCCATCACAGTGTATTAAGGTTATACAGGGGATCTTTGTCTCGTCTTGTTGCAATAGCAGACGGACACACGTCTTGTGTGCGTCTTACTTTCCGGAGTGTCTTACAATCCGGCATCTGTTATGCGGGGGTTGAGGTATGGGGCGGTGTCATACGCCTGTGATGCCCGATGCATTGGAGGCTACGCTGTTGGTGGATCACGTAGAGAAGTGGGGGAAAATTATCATCTGCTGATGGCGGTACAGCAAGCAGGACCCTCCCATCAAAGAGTCTCGAGGCTCACCTAAAATCAGTGACCAACATTCCCACTCATATTGTGACTACCACTACTACTACCCTATTGTTATTATTACAACGAATTTAAACACAGATCTGTACATGTGTGGGGAGTGGTGACGCGGTGGTCGAGCACGTGGCACGCGACAATTCAAGAGTTCCATTCTGGGCCACGGCGAACGTCAGTGGCGAGCAGGGTTCGACCCCCTTCACTAAGCTCGCACCGCCCAGCGTGGTGAAGTATGGTCAAACACCTCCCCCTCCCTCGCCCCTCCCACCTCCTCTGTCCCACGTCGACTGCCACGGCGTGCGGGGAGGCTTTTATCCAGCAGTGGATTGACAAAAGCGCCATGCATTAGGAGCTCAATGAAGGGAGCGCGTGGCAGAGTACTTCCACCCGGGTGAAGGGGGGCGGGAGATGGAGCGATGAAATCAGCTGCTGTTGCAGGTACTACATCGTGACAGGTGGGGGCGGCTTCGGTGACGAGTCCTTCATCCAGCAGTGGATCGAGCGCGGCGGGCGACGACGATGAATCCGACGCATACGCCGAGTTAAACAGACAGCCTCGCTTTGCCGATCCGACGGACCCATTGTTTACACGAGACACGACGCGGATGACGACGACGATGATGATGCCCATGGTGATGATGCGCATGATGATGAAGATCATGACAATGATCAATTGTGGCGGCAGGGTTGCAAGCCATCAAAGGCGACCTTCACTGCACAGGCGCCCATCACACCCCCCCCCCCCCCAAAAAAAGAGCAGATAAAGCAACATGGTACTCACTCGCGCCTTGGTTTTTGCTATAGGAGGGCGCGCGCCCAGACGTGCAGAGCACTGATGGAAGGGCAGCCACACGCGGCTTTGTCACGAGCCCGTGTGTACGATCGTCCTCCCTCCAGAGGGTTACTGCTGCGCACGTATGAATATATATCGCTCTACGACACTCTTATAGAACAGGATACTTAGAGAGGTAAAGGTGCCTGTGTGATTTCGTTATTCATTGGAGAGAGAGGGAGAGAGAGGGAGAGAGGGGCGGGGAAGAGATGGTGTGGCAATGTGTGCGGTGTTGTCAGAGCCTGCGCATGCGTGATTCGGGTAATGAGCGGGTTTAGCCTGGGGAGGCCTGATGGGGGGGGAGGGGGGGATTTCGGGAGGGGAGGGAGAATGGATGGAGGAATGGGAGGATGGATGGAGGAGAGGATGGAGGGAGGGAGGAAAAGGAGGGGAGGATGGAGGGGAGGATGGAGGAAGGGAGTGGATGATGGATGGCAAGAGAGAGGGAAGGGAGGATGGAGGAAAAGGAGGGGAGGATGGAGGGAGGGAGGGAAGGTTAGAGGAAGGAAGGGGAAGATTGATGGGAGGGGAGGATGGAGGGAGGGGGTAGTAGATCGGGCTTATGGGGGATTGACGTATCGAGAGAAGATGGAGGGATGGATGGAGAGAGGGAGTGAAGAGATGGGGAGGGGGTGAAGGGGAGGATAGAGAGTTGGAAATACCGTGGTGGGTGGGGTGGGATGGGGATGGCAGAAAGAAGTGTGGATGGAGGGTGGGGAGCGTGGTGGTGGTGGCAGTGGAGTTCTGATTGTGTGAGAGGGATGGGGGTGGGGGGATGATATCGACACTCATCTGTGTTGACTTTTGAGAGTTCTCCATTCGTGTGCAACACTGCGATTATTCATCGATTAATATCGACCCCGGGAGCTTACGACACGCGCATGTAATCGTGCGTGCATGAATCGGCATCGGCGCTCTTTCGATGGATCGACGCCGGCCACGCTGGTTATCAGACCGAGGAGATGGAGCGGATGGAATCGGCTCGGCCGGCTGGATTGTTACATTCGCAGGATCGTGAGTGATGCCGACGGCTTCGGGGAGGTCATCATCCAGCAGCGGATTGATCATGGCCGACGACTACGACGATTATTGCGATGCGTTGTGTGCGTGACGGGTTCAACACCTGACCGACTGCAGCCTCCTGTGGCTGCTACATCCATCACCACCAACCAACCACCACGTTTACAAACAACAACGGATTATAATCAACTCAATTCGAGACGATTCGGTGGACGGGCGAGACGTTGCGATTCGTCGCGGCGCAGTGGAAATCCGGAGGAAAGAAATCACACAGAAACAGAGAGACAGAGCGACGAGAGAGCACAGATGGTCAGTTTGGGAAGGAAAAGATTTGCAGTTAAGCAGAGTGAAAGGAAATCGCTAATCCCGCTCTGATCTCATCGGGAATCGCACGCAAAGGGACATTTTTGCCAGGTTCCCGATTAGAATTGTTGGGGGTGGCGGGGGGAATGGCCTACATGTGATTGTAATCATCATAATGAGTCGTTGAGTCGTGTTCTATCCACCGCTGAATAAAGCTCGACTACCCGCACAGTCCCCCTTACGGCGATGCCACCACGATCCATCCCACTCCTAGCGCATGAGCCGATCACGTTGCTCCATCTCCCACCCCTCCCTCCCCCCGTGGGGGGGGGGGATATAACAACCCTCTCAAATATCTCCCCTCTCAAATATCTCCCCTCTCCATCGGCTGCCGGTCTGTCACCGGTCTTGTCCAACGGAGCCATCGACGACAATTTCGGCCACCACGTGTCCTGCCCCCCCCCCCA